GCTTCATCGACAATCCCACCCGGATGAGAACAACTTTTTGGAAAGCAGGGTAATGTGAAATTGAATGGGAACGTCAGCTCAACTCATATGATTGTAGGAACATTCTTCTAGCCGTCCTTCATCATCTTAAACGAAATTGGGTAATACATCTGATAATACTGATTTACTGGCAGTCTAGAAAGTCTAATCAAACACGAAAATTGACTACAGTTTTCTCGATTTGCTGTTTTCACCAGCATCCAGGCAGGACGCCTCGTGGACTGGTTCAAGCTGAACGTCTTACCAAGACCGAACGCCTGCGGAACAACGGGCATTTTGGTGAGATCAACCGACGAATCTCTTCTTCGCACTCACTTGCATGCAAAATCAAAGTGCCGTCTCAAGAGACCTATGAAAAACCCAGCTTCTTTTGGCATGTCTGATTTATGCCTTTCTTTTTTTCACGTCTTATTTCCATATTCTCGTTTGATGTGACGGCCCCTGTTCGGTTCGTCCAATCTTGTGGGGCTAGCGCGTTTCTGGTTTGGTGGACTCGAGGACTGGCAGGCTTTCGATTCCATACACAAGCCGAGTGTCGGCGGTCACGATGTGCTGAGTCGCTGCCCCAAGGATTGATTGATTAAGAGATAGAGAGAGAGAGAGACAGAGAGACAGAGAGACAGAGGGAGAGACAGAGAGAGAGATAGAGCACTTGATAGCCTGCGCTGTTGGTGCAATGTTGCCATGTCGTGGAGACGGCGTGCACACCAGCCTGGATGCGTGGAAATGCGCCTCGAGCCGAGGGCTGCGGGAGCGGAAACGCGACCGCGGCCGCTAGTTGCCATGGCGTCTGAGCAGCCGTGGCGCCCGGCTCGCTGTATCCAGTGTTGTCGCCAGGGCGTTTGGCCGTTGTGCTGGTGGGACTCGGACTTGGCAATCAGGTGACAATTCCGGGCATCTGCGACAAGGCGCCAAGTGAGCGGAGCTCGTGAAAGTGTAGGTGTGCGGTGAATGGAGCCGGTAAAGCAAATGGATCAAGGTACGGGAAGAGCCCAGAGGCGAGAGCGAAGAAGCTGGGTCCAACGACGAGAAGTGGGTGAACACGTGCTGGGAGCTGGACGTGAGATGAAATGTTTACGGAGAAAAGTTGGCTGTCGAGGAATCTCTTGTTTCATAATTGTTGAACTGGCTTACATTTCGAGTGGAAGAGACAGACACAATCACATGCCTCGAAGGTGACATATGAGCTTGATTAAACAAATCTCTTTATACTTGATGAAAGAGGCCAGATGTGGAATATGTAAACCACTTTTTAGGGAGTTGCCGGTGAGTTTTCTTGACTTGTTAGCTTGAATTTTGTTGTGACGATGGTACCTCGTTCTGACGATGTCCGTCATGTGACGGACGAAAGCTTAGCACCTTTTCACCGGAATCGAAGAAGATTGATCTTCCAGTAAAGCCAATCGACAGTTGGTCAAGAGGGATCCGGCGTCGTCTTCTGGTGGAACCGAGCTTCGAATCTCTT